TTAGTTACAGTTGGTTATTTTACTTATTAAAACAGGTTTTAACCGTACTACGAGTATTTATTTATTTATACCACTATGTTACCGTTAGTAGATATAATCGATTTCTAACCAACATCGGTTAAAAATCGGTTACTGTGAAACAATTAAAATATTTATGTGTACTTATTTCAACATTAAGGTTCATAAATAATGAAAAATACATCAAATAGGTTATAAATAAATTAATTAGATAACATAAAAATGACACCAAAAATTTCCCATTCACTGAACTCCATCCTAAGGAAACTTGTATAATGGAAGATTAGGTTCGTTTAGTCGCTATACTGACAGTATTGTTACGAGCTTAGGGTTCATGACAATAAAAACTGCCGATTGAGTTACCAAAATTGACACTTTAATTACCGAACACCAATTAAAATTTAAAACACACTAATAATTAATCACACGTAACACTTTATTTCGCTCCGAAATCTTCGCTTGTATTGCCAATTCTATACCGGCCGCGGTCCACACAGGCCTTTTATAAGCCTTTTCCACGAAAAACATCTAGAGTGTTCGAGTAGACTGTCGAAAGTTCTAGCAAGGAATTTTCCAGAAAGCTTTCCTAGTTCTGCTACTCCATACTAGATGGCGCTAGTGAATTTTCAAGATCTTGACGCTCCTATTTCTGCTACTTGATACTAGATGGCGCTAATAATTACCCACCATGTACCAAGCATTAATTATGACGCGCAACACCGCCTCCTCCTAAGACATGCTCGTCCCGAGCATTATCGGCCCTATAGTAACGCGCCAGTTGATCCACATGGACGATCTTAGGACTACCTCTTGCACCATTCTGTATCCGGTAGGTTACGTCATTGATCCTGGTCACAATCCGGTACGGTCCGTCCCATTTAGCTTGAAGCTTAGGAGATTTACCTTTGCTACGGACTGAATTGCAACCACACTCTTTTATACGTGGTAGAGCCATGCTGCAGTTATATTAGTAGTATAGTTGTAGCACGAATGGGTCGGCTCGACCGGGGAAGGACCACGCTCTCACAGAATACCAGCGTGAAATAGTAGCTTAATGCTGCTGTATTTCGTATGGTGAGTGTAGAGAACCGGAGACCCTTTTTACTGGAAAAGAGGCATTCCATCTCAGTCCTCACGGGTGACAACGCATCTGCATTTTGATTTTTAATAGAGGATAGATGTATATGTCTATGGGCCGCAGCAACCACTTACCATCAGGTGGACTGTGTGCACGTTTGTCACCCTATTCTATAAAAAAAAAAACTAGTGACCCTTCATCGAAAACTGTGGTTCATTTTGCGGTCATACCGGTTTTTCATCTTTTCAGACATTTGCTAACCTGATTGTCTGACATGCTCATAAATGTCATTCAACTATGGCCATCTTTGTACGGACTTTGCATATGAATGATTTCATGTAGATTGTATTTCTTTATAATGTAATGTTTTTTAATCTTTTTTGTATACCACTCCCTATAAGTCTGATTGGAAAGTAAGTTTTTCAGTTACCATTGTCCTATTTGGGCCCATTTTTAGTCGTAATAGCGGTCAAACTGCAACTCACTTATTATGCTCAGTATCAAGACAGCCCCCCTCTTAGTTCATTCAAGTTTAAGTATTGTGACAGGCAACTACGGAACCCTACCTCTACATTGTTCGTGGCCCGACACGCACTTGACCAGTTTTTACTTTTCTTGTTGTTGTTTGGAAGATGCCATAGCCCATCTCCTGATTTGTTTTCCCTTGTCGCCTGTAGCGGCACCAAAAGTATGATATTATGGGGTAGTGGATATTCCTATGCCGCTACTAAAGGTCGTGTTTAAAACATGTACTTATTTAAAATATTCATAATTTTATTAAACATGAAAAATGATATGAACACCTGAAATATTCTTTACATAATTTCTAGTAACTTAGTAGTAAATGGGTCATATTCACCGACCTCTATATATACTTGTATAACCTTGTATATATAGAGGTCAGTGATCATATTATATACAATATAGTTTTATGACTTTAAATGTGATCATAAACACACTTCTTCAAATATAGTCGTCCATAACTTTTTTGCAAAGGATTAGATGAAGTTTATATATATATATATATATATATATATATATATATATATATATATATATATATATATATATATATATATATATTTTAATTTACACAAAAAACAAACATTTAAAAAAAGAAATATTGAAAAGTGTTTATTAATTTTTTATCTCACTTAAAGTTTGTATATGGTTTTCTGACTTTAAATGTTAATTAACGGTCTAGAAAATCGAAATAAATTTAAAAGTTTATATTTTGGTGTTTTATTGAGTGTAAGATTGAACGAAGAAGAATCTATTCGCTAACTCACTCGACCCCGCCATCTCCTTCTAACCTAACCTACCCAAGTCGGGATGCCCTAAGTCCCGAGCTCGCATCGCTCGATCTTACACTCAATAAAAAACAAAATAAAAAATTAATAAACAAACATTCTTTAATTTTTTTCCGAGTCGGGATGCTCATAGTCCCGACCTCGCATCACTCGATCTTACACTCAATTAAAATTAATAAACAAACATTTTTTAATTCTTTTTAAATGTTCGTTTTTTTGTAAATTATGAAAAAGAAAACTTCACTTGATTACATTTAAAAATGTTATAAACAATTATATGTGAATGAATGCATTCTCATGAACATTTAAAGCCTTGAAACCAATATAAGTTTACTTTTTTATTCTTGTTTTGTTTTTGTGAATCCGCAGTATTAATAAAGATTTAAAAAAAAAAAAACATCGAAAGCGGATGATTTTTCGATTTTCTAGAGCCAAAAAACGAGGTGACCAATGTTTTTTTGATGATGAAGATGCTTGGAAATTATTTTGTTTGAGTAATCATACATTACATAAATAAAAAATAATAACATAAAAACTGTTACTGGACACTATTAGCAATTAATTGAAAAAAAAAACAAAATAGGTTTTATTGTTAAAAACCTTAGAAATTCAATTTTAAAAAATGAACAGACTTCGTCTAAGACAAGTTTAGCTTAATATTCTTTAAATGGATTAAGATGTCATCCCCTTAAGGCTTTGCACCCACATCTTCCAAACTTCAATCAAGAATCAGTATTCGTATGGCCTACAAATAATTGTTCCAGATCTGGATTTTGTCCTTGTGAAAATTATGTTTGTAAACTGCCTCCACGATTCGGGAAAAAATCCTAATGAGAAGGTAACATTTTTTGAAAAGATTAAAAAGAACTTTTTCAAAAGAATAGAGGCATGACACATTGATTCACTACCTACTTTTTAATTATATGTATAAGCTTTAATTGGTAGCGCCTAGGGGATACTCTAAAATAATTTATTTCAATAAAGTCGGATAAAGAGAGGTTTACACAAAGTAGAATTTTATAATTTAAAAAATAATAAGTTTTTAAGATAGCTCTTTTGTGAGTTATATGTTCATGAAATTAATAAAATAAAAAAATACTTTAAACAAGAGACGAACAGAAAAAAAGATTAACTCTAAAAAGACTATTATTGATATAATCTGATAAAGAAATAAGCAATCAAATAAACAAAAATGTTTAACAGGATTGTGAAGTGTGGATGACACAGCATGAGTAGGTGTTTTCAAAAATGCTCACTCTGCCCGCTTCCGAGCGTGAAAAACACTAATAATATGCACCTGCCCCCTGACCCGTATTGTGAGATGAAGAGAGTTGCCAGTCTTGGAGGCAATTGCCAACATTTCCTTTTTAAAATATTGTTTCAGGCAATATCGTTTTTACCTGCCTCAACCTAAGTTTGGTCTCATTAGATTCAATACACCTTAATGTAGGTCTGTACATTTTTTTTTCTCAGTAATTCAGTTTAGTTAAATTTTTTAAAGAATCCGCTCAGTTTTTTAATCAAAACTATAGATAAAAATGCTAATAACTTATATCATACACAATATTTTTTAAATAAAAGCTTAAGGACCTAGGTTTTCGTTATATCTATAACATTTCCAAAACTTATGAAAATTAGACTATGTTTACATAATCAAAAAAAATAAAACTAACAGTTTGGCTAAGTCTTGTCATAGTAAAGCTTGGTATAAAATCTTTTTGAAGTTTTGTCAAAATAAATATACCTAAACTAATTGCATATTCATAGTTTACGCTTATGTATTACAACCAAATTCCAAAGCAACAGCATTACCCCTATTATTTTCATGAACAGAAATTAATACTCATGTAGTGGCAGTATAACAATGTCCACTGCCCCTTATTCACTACAGAGGGAAAAACAATTCAAACTATAAAAAACTAAAGATGTCAATCTGCCTGTCGAGCATGGCAACTATTGCATTATCTCCTTATGAAGCAATTCAATGGAAGTCCCATGTTCAGCTGTGGACTTTTATATGCTGCTGTGGATGGAAAGATATTGAAATCAAAATCGGGAAAAAGCTATAGCAAAAGATGAAAAATTCCATTTTTGCATGTACAGCCATTTGTTATGAAATCCTCAATATAAAAAGTATAATAAGTAATTGTTTTCTCAGAAACAGCTCCAACAGTTTGCATAAAATGTTGTATTTGGTTACTCTCCCAGTTAATCTAGAATAGTTTTTAGTCTCCTAGTTAATCTAGATAATTCACTCCTGAGAAAAGTTGAGCAAAGCCTAATTGCCCAGGTACTTAGATGAAAAATATTTAAATAGCAATAGAATTACACCATGTCCTAAACGCTAACACTCTTGTAGCAACACTAAGCAAAAGACAGAAAATAGGTTGAAAAATTTTCATTTCTATTCAGTAAGTAGAATTAGATTATTTTAGAAAACTGACGGTAGAGTGCAAAAAGTATATTCTTCATGGACGTGGCATCGACAGACATTTTTAGATAATTTATGAAATTTAAATATGTATTATTTTAAAATCCGTTTGTTGTAGAGGAAAAATTTTATCTAAAAGTAAACCAAATAAATATTGACTTACCAATATTTTTGGAACTTTAACTAAACTTTCTATTTGATTCACAAATGTTATTAAATTGTTTTGTTTGTACGTAAATACTGCTATTTTTGCGGAATTCTTGCAATGAAAGGCAGAAACAAGACGCACCGCCATACAAATTGACATTTCAAAATTCACAAGTCAGTCCATAGACTACTGTTTAGAAACTAGAGTCAGTCAGTTGTCAGTTCAAGATTCCAAGTTATCAGTGTCAGATGGGAACAGACTTCTTTAGAAACGAACTTGTACGGATGCACTTTCATCAGTGTATTTATAAATTATATTTCGTCGCTTCAATATTCAGTTATAACTGTAACCAGGTAGTTCTTTTACCTAAAAGGTAGCTATCGCACGCAATTAAGTATTTTTTTTATTTTATTTTTAAATAATGCAATGTATCGAAAGTTTAAAAATGTTACTTATCGCCTTAGACCATTCAACCCATTAATGGTCTAAACCTATCGCTTTTTATAAGAATCGTCTTAATCTCACGCTCTTAACAGAGATCAACCAGTTACTGGCCCCTTTCCTATACCACACCTTGGGTTCAGGAATCAATGCGGTGGGCGTGATCCCTGATAAGACGTTCGATTTAGAACTTTAACAACTCTCCCAAAAGCAAGTAGTTGACGACTAATATTACGGGCCCTATTAAATTTTTTTTTATAGAAAAGATGGCAAACGATCATACGGTTCACCTGATGTTAAGTGACTACCGCCGCCCATGAACAACTGCAACACCAGGGGAAATGCAGGTGCGTTACCAGACTTTTAGAAAGGAGTAAGCTCTTTTCTTGGAGGTCCCCAAGTCGTATCGGTCCGGAAAAATCGCCGGTGGCAAACTATTCCACAGAGAGATCGTACGAGGAAGAAAACTCCTAGTGAAACGTACAGTGGTGAACCGCCAATCATCCAAATGATATCGGGAGGTTTGGTTGATGAGAACAGTATTCCATGTGAGGCTGAACTTGCGCCTTGTAAAGTTGTGCGCGATGTGCCGGCATGAAATACTTTCCCGCTATGCAGAGCACGCAAACCTTTTAGAGGCTAATTTGACCTTCTCTTCCCACCACCACGAAACGTGACCACGAAACTGCACGTCACTCGATATATTGACGCCGAGGGTTCCGATACTGGCTGAGGCAACAAGGGACTTGTGACTTGAAACTGAGGAGATACGACAAAGAGGTTTTTTTAGCGGTTAACGTGCAAACTTATGTCTTCTGAGGGTTAAACTGGACTAGATTTAGTCGCCCCCAATCTGAGACTTTGTTCAGCAAAGACTCAACTTCAGACACAAGTTTGTCACGGTATTCAGAGATCTTTTCCTGAGAAATATTGGCACAGCCGGTGTACAGACATTCACCAGTGCTGTCATCCGCATAGCAATGAATGTTACCGGTTTGTAACATATCATTGATATGCAAGAGAAACAGCGTTGGCGATAGCACGAAGCCTTGTGAAACACCAGCATTAATAGGCTTGTAATCGCAGCTTGCACCGTCTACAACGACCTTCATGCTCCGATCTGCAAGAAAGCTGGTGATCCAATCGCACAATTTCTCGGGAAGCCCATAGGAAGGGAGCATCGAAAGAAGCGCTTTGTGCCAAACCCGATCGAAGGCCTTCGCAATGTCCAAACTAACGGCCAATGCCTCCCACTTGGACTCTACTGCCTCCGCCCATCTGTGAGTTAGGTAGACCAGAAGATCACCAGCTGACCGACCACGGCGAAAACCGTATTGACGATCACTAATCAGCTGGTGATCCTCAAGATACCTTATGAGCTGGCAGTTAACAATAGACTCTATTGTTTTGGAGAACAAGGAGGTGATGGCGATAGGCCGGTAGTTGGATGGGTCTGAGCCAGTGGCGAAGCTAGGGCTCCAAACTAGGGCAAGCCCAAGATATGGTTTTGTTGTTTTTAGCAGTTTAATAAAAATACGCCAATCTTGAGCTGTCTCCACTCTTTAGTTTCATATTCAGTGCTGACAAGGACGTGTTTAACAAAGCACACAGAAAGCATACTACCGCTAGATAGATTGTATGACATAATATGCAATTGCACACCTGCGGTGGTTTTGAAAAGAGCCGTTTGCTTGGATATTACAAACAATACAATACATGAACAAAGTACAAACAAACTATGTAAAAAGTTAAAAAAGGGACGCCTGGCAGATGTAAAACCTCGAAGTTATATTTTGTTTAAGTTATATGCATAAAAGAACAGATTACGACAGGAATTAGATAGTTATAATGAGAAGATAAAGCTTTGCTAATTTTTTACCATAAAATAATGACCATTTATTATAAATATAATTATTCATTTTCAATTCTTAATAAACCGTACAAAATGATATTTTTAAACTCATATATCACTAAATTAGCCGATAGCGTATTTGTGCCATCTAGCGTAATCTTTAGGTACCATCGTGAGAATCAACCAATTTTCGTTCGATAAAATGACTTTACGTATAGAATTAAGTAGATGGCGCCATTAAAATTTTATATACTGAAAAGTAGACAGAGAAACCTAACTGGAAATAACTAAAGGGGTACTCCCTTCTCCTTCCTTCCTATTCTTTAAAAACCTCAATACATTCTTCTGTATTCTTTTGATTTATTTAATTAAAATTTGGGCTTCACGTTAAAAAAAGATTGTAACACTTATTTCCTCTAAAATTAAACCTAGTTCTCATACTTTATGCTGCTGTTCAAATTGATAGTTTTAATTCTTATGGTAATATTAATATTAAGTTATTAAACCTTTAAATACGCCTAACTTATTCAACTTTAATACTAAAGAGTCCTGTACCTATATTTAAAGTATGAAAAAATGTCTATTGAATATTAAATTTCATTTTTAAAGATTTTTACCTTTTCTTCGCCGATTAGCACTTCAACACACTTATATTCATCACGAACACTATTATCCTCCCATTTTCACTGAAAATCTTCGAAAAAGCATAAATTTTTAACAAACACAACAAAAACGTACTTAAACATTGAAATGTGAAGTGAACTTGCATACGAGGGACCCGCAACCACTTCGCTAATCGCTAACGCACTCCTAAACAACTTCATGGCAAAGCCAGGCTTGTTGGCTCAATAGTAATTGCTATATAAACATTTCGTAGTTATATTTCATTATAGAATATTTTGCCATAGGTTAGAAAGAGAGCGATCATCTTCTCGAAAGCCCCGTAAAAAGCCCACGCGAGTGAGGGAGACAACTAATCGCTCTAACTCACTTTATGACAGCAGCAGTATCGCCACAGAGTACCTTTGTATAAACGTATCGCTAAGGCAATACGAGGTCATCGGTCGACATGTGTCGAACAGTGGAGTGCGCGGGAAAATTGAAATAATTTGAAACAGTTTAGAAGTTATTTTATTAGTTGATATTATTGATTGATTCAGTTTTAATAAGGCAAGCCCGGCTTTTCGGCTTTAATGGAAACTTCGCCACTGGTCTGAGCGGTCGCCTTTTTTAGGGATCGGGTGGACGAAAACCGTCTTCCACGTTTATGGGACAACGCCTAGGGAGTAGGAGTACCGGAATAGATGCGTTAAAACCGGTGCCAACTCTGGAGCACACGTCCTCAGCACAATTAGGGGGATTCCGTCAGGCCCACTAGACTTGTGGATGTCCAGGGAGAGGAGTGCTTTGCGAACCGAGTACTGTGTGAACTGCACTTACGGCATGGAGCACTCACACCGCGAGATGGTTGGCGGCGTACTCCCCCCGTCATCGAGAGTCGAGTTGGACGCAAAGAAAGAGCCTAACAGATCGGCTTTCTCCTTTACGCTATGGGCCACTGAGTCGTCCTCCCTGTGCAGAAATGGAAGAGATGGCTGACAGAAATTCCCCTGGACAGCCTTGGCGAGATTTGAGAGCCTTGGCTATCAGAATGCACGGGTTCCAGAAGGAAGGCGAACTAGTTTCTCGTCAATTCTGCCTATGTGCTCTGACTTTGCCTTGGCAATGACTCTTTTGAAGGACCTAGAGGCGGAATTATACTTCTTTTTTAGAGCGCTGGTGTTTACATCCCGGGACGTTGATGCGTCAGTCCAGGCTTGGTAGCACTCCTGCTTATAGCATGATGTTATTTTACAGGAGCGACCAAACAATGGCTGAGATTTTCCTCCAATGGGCACCACAGAGGAAGGAATAAAAAGTTCCATACCCTGAAGTACCACATCAGCGACAGAATCAGCAACAACGTTGTGATCGTCCGGCGAGAAGCAAGCCCGCCCCCAAGGGTAGGATGCAAAGAAAGACCGCATCCCATCTCAATCGGCTGACCTATAGTCTATAGTGCCAAACACGGCGGCAGCCTGCAGAATACAACCGCGATTTCAGAGTGAGTGGCACCACACTCCGGACAAGACAACGATCCGAGGAGCCAAGAGGGGCATCGACGGAGACTTGATATCTGTCCAGATGAGAGGTCACCCCGCATGATCGGTTAAACGTGAAAAGCCATTTGGCGTCGTTGGCGTTAAAATCGTCGATGATGACGATCTCTCCGGAGGGAATCTGCTGTAGCAACGAATCTGTAGCCATTTGGAAGTAGTCGAAGAGTCGGTCTCTTTCGGCATTACGTATAAAGGTACCCGGGACGCGGGGATGGTCGTCGCTGTCTACGCGTAGCCAAAGGATGGACAAGTTCGATCCTTCAACACTGTCCAGGCGTCGGAAACAGATGTCCTCTCTGACGTATATGCAAACTCCAGCCCGAGGCACAAAGGAGTGTATCAGTTTGTACCACGGGTAAGAGAGATACGAAGGCCGGATAGGACACCTGCGTTTCGATCAGAAAGAGCAGAGCCGGCTTTGCCATCACGAGATGCTAGTGGACGGCGTTTAGGTTCGAGTGAAGTCCCCAAGTGATATTGCAAAAATTTAGCTTGCCCCGAGCAGTTTGTCTTGAGCGGCATTTTGCCCCCAGAATACACGGGGCAGCCTAAGCACCCACGCTCAGGAGTGGAGTAGCTTGGTCGTGGATGCTCAGCAAGAGATTCTCAGGGGTTCTTGTACCATCTGAGATTTAATTCCGCTACCATGTTGATGGGAGAGGAGGGAGAATTGGGCCCACGGCCACCTGCACTCACCAGACGAAACG